AAACTATGATGTCATCCTCTGCGTAGTCATAACTATAATACTGACTAGTGAATGTTTGCATGCTCGCACATAGAAAGTATATTTGTCTAACTTCGTTTGGGGAGTCCTCAGTGACGAAACATGACATTTGAACTGAGAAAGACTATAGTAAAACATATGTATAGCGAAATATTCGCGGGTGGTTACTGATTCTCGTCTGTGAACGAAGACTTCTTCGCCAGGGTGGCCAGTGATCCCAGCATTGTATTTACCTAGAGGCAAACTGTGTGGCCTTTATTTTTGGGGGAAACCGCAACCACGTGGAACTGCTCTTGTGTATATTTTATTCACACACACTACTACAATGACTGAGCAGAAAAGACTATATTCGTGTGTTGTTTTCAAGTTCCACACCTTATCTCTGTCAGTTTTTCTTTAATTTTCCTTGACTATTTCCTTGAACTTTCGCTAAAACGATAAAAGCATTAAAGGCTCGGAGACCTTATGGGCATACTTCAAGAAAACTCGAGGACCAATGCAAAAAATGCATGATAGACTTACAGGCATTCTACCCTCAAGTGATAACAAACAGAGAGCTAATTGGAGCAGGGCAGGCGAGCACTGCCTACCCCTCTGCAGGCAAATCAAGGATGCCGCTCAAAGTAAGAACGCTGATAATAAATACCGCCCGACCATGTCCAAAGTCAAACACTAAAGTTCTTCTCAGATCTTCTGTTGAACAGCTGGCAAAATGGCCGCAGTTCACGCCGCAGTTGGAGCAATCGTATCGCTGAAGTTGACGATAGCCTACATTATGTTGACTTTATTACCAAAAATTCGTAAGTGCCGACTTTTTTTAAGGTGTAATGGCTTACGTCACTAAAGCAAACACTAACGCATACATCTCATGAAAAGATGACCGAAATTCCGAAATGCGTTTCTGATTCGAGAAGATCGCTTAAGTAACCTTTTTACGTTAATTATCTTCACGTTAGGATACCGACGGCCGCATGCGTAAAATGCATAATGTAGAATGTGACTACCTAATTAGAAGGATTTTTTCCCATTATTTTGGATGCCTTGATAAGTTCGAATGCATGTTGCAGAAAGCGCACTCAAAAATTCCCCCTTCCACATATCTTAGAGCAAATTTTACTTTTCCGAAGCTATTCCCTTATAAGAGCATTTATGCCGATTTCAAAAATTCCTAATCATGAGATTTTTCAAGATCATGAAATGTTTAATCCTACAGCATCGCATTAGCAGATATTTTGATGCTGCCTATAAAGTAAACAACGTTGTCGCTTATTTTTAATAACATATAGAGCTACATGAATTGTCTTACGACAAAAGCATACGACTTTTAGTTTTTAAATCCTGGATGAAATAGTAAAGACAGGCGGAGTAAAAAATTATTTAGGAGTTGGGGAGTTTTAAAACAGTAAGATAATCTTTCCTCAAGTAACAAATTGACAAGGCCTAATCTGCCACCTATGTAGTAAGGTAAAAAATATTCTTGTTTATGTTTCCTGCATAGTAGGCTTAAATTTACAAGCTTATCAAAAGCCGGTAATAAAAATTCATGCTTCATAGATACTCACTTTTTATGGAATGCAGTTTATGTAAGCCGTCTGTATGAAGCTCAGTCAAAAGCCTGCATCTTGGCTTGACTGAATTATCTTAACTCCAAGCGACAGGATGATTAATGTGGTGACACTTCGTAAGTAATATTTTTGAACTGAAACACATTTCCGAATTGTAGTCAATATTTCTTGAGATAGCATATCTAATTTTATTTAGAGCAAAACGGATGCATTTGGCTTTGCAATAAATCACTTCGCAAAGTCATAATGTGAAAATCAGTATAACGTTAACTGTGTAATCGAGAAGCCGATTTTCGTTTTTGTATTTAAATAATGTGTGTGGGTGTATGGGCACGCAAACGTACTATAGTTTATGAATAAACGAATTAAACCCCACATTTTATT